ATTTTATGACGCTATTGCTAAAAATATTATATTAAAATGTTCAAATAATACTCTAATTAATACATTTTTAAATGAAGCAGATATTTTTATTAAGACAATTTTAGAATATTTACAATCAAAATTTGATTTTAATAACTCTATTTACAATTATTGTATAAATATTATGACATCGGAAGAGAAACCATCAATTGATGCTTTTTATAATTTAATAAATAACACCGAAAGACAAGAATGAGGTAAGGAGAAGTTTTGGCGAATCATAAAAAATAGATAGAATTACAATATCTTCAAAGTCTTTCGGTATTTTTAATATATTTATTAAATTATAAAAACCATCAATTGATGGTTTCTGTTCCAATGTCATAATATTTATACAATTGTAAATAGAATTATTAAAATCAAATTTTGATTGTAAATATTCTAAAATTATCTTAATAAAAATATCTGCTTCATTTAAAAATGTATTAATTAGAGTATTATTTGAACATTTTAATATAATATTTTTAGCAATAGCGTCATAAAATTTATTATCAATTTTTAACTATAGAGATGAACAGAGCTGTAGCATGATTTTGTGAATCATTTTTAATAAAGAATATTCTGATTGCAACTGAATATTAACTGCATTAGATTTCCTACATGTGAAACAAATCCCAAATATGCTTCTGCCATTTCATACTCGAAAAATTTTCAAAATTTTAGGACAGCCTTTAAAATCTTTATTTAAGAAGTATTTTTTTAAGGGTTTGAAAAATTTTAAAATTCTATCGATGGCAGGTATTAATGACAACCACCTGATAGGTATATATCGCAACAACTCACACCATTCCAAGTCAGACCACTTCACCAACTCTTTTAATTCATTAACTCTTTTTGAACTAAATTCGTTAAAACATTTCATCACAATTATTTCGACATCCACAGATAGTACATTCATTGCCTTCTTCCAAGAATTATGTAGTATATATGGCATATACAGCCAATTGGTATTAATTCATTTGTGCTGCCTCATTTCGATAACTTTCGCTTTTGCCAAAATTTACAGAGGCATTATCAGCGCAGAAAGCTGGCATGCAAATCATTGATAACCCTGAATCAGCTATATTTACCATTATGTGGCTAGCTACATCGTTGGATTTTTCACTATCCGAGGAAAATTTTTTAACAGTTTTATTGAAATGTACTTATTCTTGTTGAAATTGCGAAGGATCGAGGGAAATGTTTTAATATTTCCCTTATTAGATGCATTTGTTAGACTTGCATATAGATGCCCATCTTTCAAATCGTCTAGAATTGACCTCTAGGATTCAGGTACCAAAACACTTGTGATAGCCTTGCTCATTTTTATTGCCACAAGTAAGGTTTGTACTTATATTAGACTCGTTAAATATCATGAGAAAAAGATTCGACCCACATTGTAATGATATATATAGAGCTCCGTGAATGTTGAACTACATAATAGATGTATACGATTTCCGCAAATATAGTTTCATTTTAAGAATATTTTTGTATTGCAATCGATGTTGATATACTCCCCTGTACTGACTAATATGAATGAAATAATGTTGATTTATTATTGGATAAAAAAAAACAGGATAGAAAGAAATATACAAACTAGACATGTTTTTCGAATAAATATTTAAAATTTATTTTAAAAATATAAAAATAATCAATTAATGTCTCAAAATTATTATTTACATATTAAAAACGTTAAAATAACTTTTTTTTTAAATTGTGGGAGAAATTAAAAAATTGCGGTAGATTTTTGCGAGAGTCTAATTGCAGTAGTTTTGCGGGAGAGAGATATCTGCTTGTAAACTAAAAAATTGTGGGAGTCTCCCGCTGATGGGGGGAGACATGGTATCCCTGTTCATACTTAAAGGTGTGCTATTGTCTATTTCTCTTATTAAAACTAGTTTTTGTTTATTGACTAGAAAAACTGATTGATGGAATAGTAGATAATAATCTGGCATTTCATATGATATGAGCTCACCCAAAAATATTTCTTTGTTTTCGCATGTTGCCAATCGTGGCAATTTTTTCTTATTTTGTCGTTAAAAACTATCTACCAAACGAATTGAAGAATCAATGTAATAAATTCCAATTATTGATTTAAGTTCCAGATTAAATGCTTCCAGAAATTTGGTTGATTTTAAGCTTTAATGGGGGATATAGATTTTATTTCTCTTATAGTACAGTTACCTTTTTGTGTGTGAAAAAAATGTCTGAAGAATTAATAAATATGAGCGCAAACCAGCTATTTTCCTTTCTATCAAAAATGCCAAATTGGCAATTTTTTTTATTTTGCTAATAAACTTTTTCTTTATACTGTCTATTAAACGAATTAAATTATAATTAATACGGAACATCGATAAAATTTTCGGAATAAATTATTTCAGTCGCTTAAATCATAGATTTGCCAGAATTTTGTTACTAATAGTTTTTTCCTTTTACGAGCTACTATATACTCGTTTAAATACTCAATTGGTACTAATAAAGCAAGAAATATTGATATAATTTACAATTAGTTCGTAGAACTATTCAGTCGCCAATTAATGGCGCTGATATTAAAATATATAAATCTTGTCTATTCCTATGTTCTGATACACAAGTTGAAGCATATAAATAAATTACTCAGAATTATAAAACTATTATGGTAATTATAGATATAAATAGCTTAAACCTTTGATTTTGAATGATACGATCAAGTTACAATATTTTGAAAGAATTAAATAAAAATGTAAATATGAGCCTAAAAAAATGTAAAGATTTATTTTTAATTCTACATTCAAATGCTGGCTCAGAGATGAGTTTAATGAATATGATTAGGCGAAAAAATCCTTCTTCGGTCTCATTTGATTTATTAGAGGCCAAATTAATGATAAAGCAGAATTTTGACATGAATTGCGAAGAGTTAAAATTTATTTTCATATATAATAAACTTTTAAATAAAATAAATTCCTTCCGATAAATATGTAGATTTGGATCTAATTTTTATATATTTTGACTTAATAAATATGGATAATATTCAAATTTAAATTTATAAATTATAATTTGAAAAAAATTATTCACCAATATTTATATATAAAAGGATTGCAGTTGTCGCGCTTTCCCGCTTTTTATCCTTTTAGTCATTAAAAATCCCACCTCACTCTTAGAATATGGGATGTATGGCCGGTTCTAAAAATTTTTGCAATTTACAAAATGAGAAAATTGAATAAGACACCTATTTAATCTATAATTAAAATATAGACACTTTTTATAATTATTTTTTATTATCCTCATTTATATACTCTTCTCAAAATTTAGAAAATGTTTATAACAAACCCCCCCCCCCCCCCACCCTTGTCGTGGTAAAATATGTAAGAGTAAATAAATAAACACTCCATTTTGCCCTGGTTTCCGATATTGGTTATCTTTATTTTCTTGATTTGGAACATTTTCTATTTATTTTCAAAAAATCCTGAATTTTTTTAATTCCATTTTATTATAAAAAATGAGTAAACGTGCTTACAAATTGAGTAGAAGCGTTTAGAGGTGTTTTCATAAAAACGCTGTGATTTAAATTGAACTGGTATTATTTTAAAAAATGATGAAAACTATTTTACGTTTTTTAATTTTTATATTATTTTAGTTAGACTTGTGAAATCAGCAAAAATAAAAAAATAAAATAACTGAAGATCTAATGATTTATTTCCATAATTATTTTTTCATAAATATTACATATTTATGTAATCCAATAGAATATTTTGAATATTTTTTTGGAATAATCATAGCTTTGCAGATTTCTATATATTAAAATGTGAATAGAAGAAAAAGGAGAGGTCAAAATATATAAATGAATTAGTTACTTTTATATCAGAAAGTTATATCGATGTGCATTATCTAAAAATTGTAATTAGGAGGCATTAATTATCAGTAATCTTCTATAATTTTTAAAAATAATCTGAGAAAATCAATAAAAAATTCTTAGCTTTCAGTATATTTTTTATCTAGATTGGAAAATACGTATTTCATTTATTTTAGATGACATAAAGCACACGTTAAAATTTTATGTTGGGGGAAGTGGGTGGTTAACTTATTCTGGTAAAAACTTAACCCAAAATGTCTCCTCCATACTTACAACCATGAGTGAGTGAGACCAGAAAGACTAATATATTTGTCACATCAGATAGAGGTTACAAGCTTATTAAAAACAATATGTAATAAAATATTCTTCAAACATTCGCGTTTATGATTTAAGAAACTTCGGTTGGTAAATTGATATTAATTATATCAATTTCACTTAAAATGAATTCGCAATTTTCGCATTCATGCGCTCGCTATAATTCGCGCAAATACATTCGCGGTAAAAAATTCGCTATAAATGGTTCGCGATTAAAGTTTCACTATAACGAGTTCGCGATCAAAGTTTCGCTAAAATGTACTCGCTCTAAAGTATTCACGGTTTAGGTTTCGCTGAAATAAATTCGCGATAATAAGTTCGCGATCAAAGTTTCGCCAAAATGTATTCGCTATAAAGTATTCGCGGTTAGGGTTTCGCGGAAATAAATTCGCTATAACGAGTTCGCGATCAAAGCTTCCCTAGAATGTATTCGCTAGTATTCGCGGTTAAGGTCTTGCGGAAATAAATTCGCGATAATAAGTTCGCGATATTGTCTTCGCTATAAGTGTTTCGCGGAAAAAAATTCGCGGAATTGGTTTCTCGATATTACTTTCGCTATAAAATTTCTTCGCGTTAAATGACATCCGCGATAAAGTTTCGCTGAATTGACCTGATACGAAATAAATTATAAGATTTAGTATGGTTGAAAACCCCATTCCTCTTGGCAAATTTGGAGGGGGGGGGGAAATAACAAGCAAAAGTCACGCTTATCTATTATGGACTCATTAATAGTATGCTGTAATGTATGCTGCCTTACATACATATTATAACTTTCATTTTGCCTACTGAGATGTCATGTCAAGTTATAATACTGCTCATTTTATATTCTAACAAATTAAGTTTTTACATGAATTGGCCAGTGAATTGGTTATTTGGTGCATCGAGGCCTACGAGTTCTATTATTCATTACCAAAAACTCAAACAAATCGAATCACTAAAAAATTTATTCCCGGAGTATAAATAAGTCTTTTATCGCTTTAAAAATCTATTTTATAGGATAATCGAAAATGTAAAAGAACAGGAATATGCTCTTGCGTTTCTAAATTCTAATATCGAATTTAAACTTAATATGTAATATAATTTATTCCTATGAGTACCATACATGTTTTAGCAATTTTCCTAATGAATACCCATCTGAAAAGCCTATTATCAAAGTTCAACCTCCCATCAAACATAATTGGGTTAATGATGAACTTGTTATTATTGGATCACCTAGCCTTCTCAAGGTATTGTTTAATAACCAAAATATTGTTATATTTTTTTAGTATACTCCATCTACTGATATATGTATGATTTTAAAAGAAATTAGCAATGAATTTAACAAAAATCCTCCTATTCCTCTTCTGCCACCAAGGTTTTATATTGTTATAATAATAATATTATAACTAACAAATTTTTAAGGACTTGTGCTTCAAATATAACAAAAGATAATTTACCTTATTCATTGAGCCCCTATAATAAAGGTTTTGGCTACTATCCAGATTTAAAAAATGAGCAAAGTTGGGATAGTCAAAAATATACATATAACCAAGATCAAAACTTATCCCTTTCTCCATATTATGCAAATTTTAACATATCTAGCTATCCCAATGTCCCATTCCAGCCAACCTTTAATGAAGTAATAAAAGATTTTATGTTAAGATTATTTTTTAAATAATTTTGTAAGATAATAGTTGTTAGATTAAAAAATGATTTTATCACATGGTTCCCTTCAACCTACTATATATCACCCCACTGTTGCCACCATACAAATTTTTGAGAAATTGCTTTTATAATTTTATTCTTTATCATTTATACAATTTATTATGTAAAATATAATATGTCGGAGCGATGATGGTAAACCAATCACCCTGTGCATTCCAGCACTGTTTACCTTGAATATAATGATAAGCCATTGTCATGTCCTCTAAGTTGTAATAAAAATGCATTTTTTGTTTTTAACGTATTATGCCACCTAAGTTTTTATCAGTTATATCCTATATGACATTATTGGTTGGGTATCTTACTATGAATAAATATCCTTCCAATTACGTGATACGTGATTTATAGTGCTATTCCCTCTATCGTTGAAGGTTCAACACCGTGATACTAAGTATTACTCATTTCCATCTAACTGGATTAAATTAAGTTGGATGAAAAATTAGAGAGCCCTTTACACATTTATGGGCAAACCACATCTACTTATATGCACAACAGTTCAAGAATTGTTATTTAAATGTTTATAGGGTAAGAAAAGAAGAGTTGGGCAAAACAAAAGCCTATACTCGAGAACTTCAAATTTAATTTTAAAAGTGGGAGGTGACTAATTTTAGGTTTAAATTTCTTCATGTAAGTCTTAAATGATTACTATCGATATTGAGGAGATTTGATGTTTATATCAAATAAATTTTGATTTATCCTAAAAGAACAACATTTAATATATAATTTAACTTCTGGTGAAATAAGATGTTCAATTTTAATATTCAAGTTTGATTAATATGTTTTTGGTCTTGATATTCTATTATTTGCATTTGTAGAATCCACTTGCATGGGAAAACTGAACCTTTCATTGAAGTTTCTAAAAAAAGTTCAAAAGATTGAAGGCCCTCTTTACAATTAGTTTAATTTTAAAAAATATATTAAAAGTTTAATATGAACGTAAGTTTTACTTATGTATGAAACCAAGTTGAGCAATGATTGATTGTAGTGAAACTGATTTAATAAAAGAGGAAATGTTGTTAACAAAAAATGATATAATCTCATGGTTGCCTCTGACCTACTATTCGCATGGAACCACATTTAGTTTCAGAAAAAAATATGGTCTTTGTTAGATATAAATCCAGAACATCAGATTGACGATTCACTGACTTATTAGGACTAGGAATAATCTTGTTAAAAAGCCCGTTTGAGTCAATTTTTAAAACGATTAAGGTTACAACCAAAATAATATTATGTAAGCCTGGAGATTTTGCTCATAGCTGGCAGAAAAATTTGGACATCTATTTGCTAAATCTTGAGGATTACATAATATTATTTTATCTTAATTGGGCCGTTTTTAAATATCGACTTAAACAGGCTTTTTAACAACACTACTTAAGAAGCTCTCTGAAAAACGACCATTTATTAAATATAAACGGCTCGTTTTGAACCGATTTTTAAAAACGGCTAACTCAATATTTTCGCCAGAAAAATATTGACTAAGCCTCAAAATTTCAATAATATATGTCTAGACCTTTGCTCCTTCTATAAGCAAAATTTTCAGGCTTGCGTAATATTTTTCTGGATAAAAAAACTGAGTTAGCCGTTTTTAAAAATCGGCTCAAAACGAGCTGTTTAACAACACTAATATGATAACCATATGTGGCAGTGTTGATCAAAACAAATCATAAATAAAATACCGATTCGTTCAAAAAAATTGTATGGCTGCAGACCTACCTATCATGTTATATAAGTAGGCTTACGTTCATGTTAAACTTTTAATATATTTTTTTTAATTAAACTAATTGTAAAGATACTTAATCGTAATAAGATACTCTACCAAATACGACATAAAGGATATATTTGATATAAACTTCGGTGGTATAATACGTTACATCCATAATCAAAACAAAGAATGCATTTTTATTATGACAACTAGAGGACATTACCGTGACTTATCTTTATATTCAAGGTTAGCGGTGCAGGAACTTACTGGGTGATCGGTTTACCATTGACCCTCAAAGATGTGAAAGAGTTTAAATAATGCTGTATTATATTTTACATAATAAATTGTTTATTTGATAAAGTAATAAAACTCTTTAAGCAATTCTCTCAAAACTTTTTAACTATATGAATTGTAAAAGCTTATATAAGATGAAGTTATTCATTGAATTTTAGATTAATTTTCCCATCCTATAGGCCTCTACTATTAGTAGTATTTTTATTTAAAATATATCTGGCAAATTTTTCCAATTTAATAATAAGTGATAAATTTAAAGAATTGTATGATAATTTTTAAAAAAATAAATAAGGGTCCAAACATACTTTTACAGCCAATCGAAAATACTATTGCCAAAACATATTTAATGCCTGAAATCCCACACGAATACTCTTTACTGAATGATATGAGGTTTGTGTTTTATATAATAGAGCAAAGACTTGTCTAGGTTAAAATTTTAGGACCAGCCCATTTCTGGCCTGGCCCGGATATTTTAAACATCCAGCTTAGATTTTTGACTACTTTATGGCAGGCCTGTAATTTTAATTTTATTTAACATTTTTTCAATTGTAAATTGTTTCAAAAAGGGAATTGATGAATTAGGGTTCCCCATTTTTGTAAACAAACGAATTTCTTTATTTGTTATATAGGTTCCAAATTTACCTAAATCAAATGTTTAAAGCTCACTTAGACCCAGAGTTATGGGCCTTCAATGTCCAGGCCAGATGCGTTATCTTGATTTAACATATCTCAAATTTTAAAATAATTACAAATATTATTTTATAGCCCCTATAATTATCCTTCACAAAATACAATTTAAAGAATCTTAAATGTTAGCATATTTGCACAAGTGCAATTATTTTTATTTTGAGAATTCTATACTTTATGATGCTAAAAATCTATCAGGCATGTTTGTTACCTTAATATTTAGGTAATTTAGTGGGGGAGAGAAGAAATGTTTTTAAATTGAATTTTATTTTTTTATAATTTTGAGAATACATATATTCTCTACACTTTGTGAATATAATGCAAATTTCCCTATGGAAGAAATTATATGTTCATTCGGCTTACCATTGCGTTTATCTGTTTAATGGTTAACCATACTGTGTCTGCTAAATTCATGAATAAGGGTGAACAAGGGTTAGAGAAATGACACATATATTCCAGAGTTGAAGTATCTAGATATAAAAATGTGATATCTATACCAAGATACACTTTTATAAAAAGTATTAGAATCTAGATACAAGGGCTGTGCCGATATTAAATATCGAATCGGCACCGATATTTAGCGTTTTCCAAAAATGTTGGATCGGGTCGATACCTGTAAAAACCCGATCCGATCTTTTACTTTTTTTTTGTTATTTTATGTATATTTATTTTACATTAATAATTTTTTTTAATAATTTTTTTTTAAACAATGCAAATGCACAAAATCCCTTAAATTTTATTTATTTTTTAAAATAGATTTATAGTATTTTAAAAGTTTTTTATAAAAATAGAAAGGAACACCCAAGTTTTATTTATTTTAAATCTTTTTCAATAATAACGCTAATTTTATTATTTATATTTTAAATAAAAGAATTTTTTTTAAATATGGTATCTGAATATGGAAATATTTATAAAAGATAAAGATAATTTTGCAAAATGTGTTATCTGCAGAATTCTAATTTCACGGGGAAGAATAATGAAAAATTCTACTACCAATATCCGTAAATTTTTTAAAATTATTATAGAAATAAAAAAATTAAATTAAATGCAGAATTCGATTTTTGCATAAAAAATATTGATCTCTTAATTACATTTGGTTCGGTGGGGGGGGGGGGGGTGAAAAATCAATATAAATATCGGATCGGGTTTGAACCAATATCGGATCGGATCGGTGAAAAATATGTGGATCGACACAGCCCTACTAAATACTATTTTAGAGGTATCTGTTTATATATATTTTGATATAATTTTATTTTACGTTTATTTTATTAAAAATAATAACATATTTAAATTAAATTATTAATAAAATATCCCATTTTATTTCATTAGAATAACAAACCAGACATATATTTTATTCAATATCAATACTTCTAGGCAATCTGTGAAAAGAAATAAAATAATTTAATATTCGATTTTTTGGGATACCCTTAGATGATATATATCTTGAGACATTAAATTTTAAATAATTTTTTTATGCATATCGGGATTTTAATATATTTAAGTATTATAATATATCTTGAGACATTAAATTTTAAATAATTTTTTTATGCATATCGGGATTTTAATATATTTAAGTATTATAATATAAAGTTGTTCGTTAAATATAACAACCACTCTGTAGTCAAGTGTTTCGATAGAAAGAGTTTTTAATGGCTAAAATTATCCTTACATATAAACGGAGGTTCCTCAGTGCTAAAACTTTTGAAAATGTTTTATTATTAAAATATTATCATTTAATTAATATAGTTATATTTTATTATTGTTAATACAGAAATATAATTAATTAATATGTAAAAATGTAAACAATACACAATATCGATCGAATACATTTTTTAAAAAACATAATGAATATAGGGGAAAAAACTATAATTTTAAATTTCAGTTATGAAAGTACCATGAATATAGCAGCAGCCTTATATTCTAGTTGTTTTCTTTTCATTTTTATATATGAATTATTAAAATCTAACAATTATTTTAATTATATATTTGTATATAGAAGTAAATAAAAATAGCATATGTATCTTGAACCATTTGAAAAGTATTTTTCAACAACTCTGGTTCATATTTAAAACATTGCTGGATTAGGATTTTCTCTACTGAATTTTAAATATTTTCTCAGGAGGTTTAGTTGATGATATATTTACGGATTCCATATAGTGAATATTATTAATTGCTTGTGTTTTTTATCTTTTTTAAATTGTTTTCCCATTTATTATTAATTGAATTAGAGCATATTTTCATTTTAAAAACCCAAAATAATTTTTTTTATATGTTATTATTTACATATACTTTAAAAAAAATACTACTCTAATTTAACAAGAATTAAGATTGCTAAAAATAAAAAATAGGTTTAAATATCTAAATGATCATAATGATATAGAATAAAAAGGTAATATACCAACACTACTGAATTTTAGCATTGTAAGGTGAAGTTTGTTCAAAAATCTTTTAGGAAAAATACTTCCACTTAAGATATTTTTTTAGAAAAAATGTATTTTCCAAAGAATGATTTCAGGAAAAAAAATGTCATATATTATTTCTTATTTTTTCAACTTTTTTTTCCCCTCTGTATTTTGAAAGCTAATACCTCCTTACTAATTAAACTAGAGCTCCAAAATTTTGATTTGGTTTTAATTTACAACCTATTTTAACCATAAACATTACGAAGCTTTCTTCGTTTTTCAAATATGGTTGTCAAAAAAATCGTCATTTTTGGTTGATTTAATTAAAATTTTATTTAAAAAATAAGTCCAACCTGAGTTTTGTGATATTTTAATTTTTTTTTAAGCTCAGTCATATTTCTCAGAAATTCAGTCAATTTTGGGCAGGGCCTACTACAGGCCTCTGTCATTATAAATTAATTTAATGATTCTTTTTCTTATGTTTATGTTGATAATTATTAGGGAATTACGATAATTTAATATTTTATAAATAAATATTAAATAATTTGGCAATAAAGTAATGATAATTTATTTATTTAAGTGTTGAGGACCTTAACGATCTCAATGAGAATGAAGGCAAATTGATAGAACAGATCATCAGTAAATTACCGCAAATCGGGAAGCTCACGAGAGATAGAGAAGAATTGCTTAGGAACATTGAAAAACAAGCTAGTATATCGTTTTTTTTTTAAAACAAAAGTATATAATATTAAAATCTTTAGCTTTAAGGATGAAAAAAACGCTTTTTTTTAGGGAGAACAAATAAACGTATTTTTTGTAAAAATATTTATTACCACTACAATCCTTGAGGAAAATATAATCCTAGCCAATAATTATTGCAAATTATCAATATCACAAGCATCTTAATAATCATTAGAAATGTTTTATTTACACACTTACTTTTAACTCGCTCATTTTGTTAAAATATTTTTAAGTCACATCTATATTTTGCTCTCATTTTATATATATTGGCCGCAATGTGTTATGTTTTCAACTTTAAACATTTCTTGAGTGCTTTAAAAATTTAAAACTGCCTTTACTGGAAATGTATTCCAGCTTGTTAATAATACCTCTCTTATGAATTATAGACAATTTTGCTATTAACCCTTGAGTCATTTATATAAAAAATATATGGATAAACTATTATAGGGTTGACAAAAATCGTGGATTTAAATCAAATAAAAATAATTTAATTATCGTTTTTTTCAGTTTAATATTATCTTGCAAGTAAAGGACTAATGCTCAAAGGAAGAAGTCAGAAATTGTTGAAAAATTAAATAATGATATGTTGTAATTTGATATTTTTTCAAATAAAGAGCCGATGATATATAAAATACAGTTATTTTTTAAAAAATTAGCTATCAATTGTTTGCTAAAATGAATTTATTGTAGAATATTCTGATTCAAGTAAAAATGCCAAATTTCAAACTAAAATTAGCTGTTATGGATTATTTTAATTAAATTAATATTATCATGTTACTGGGCAACACATTTCTTATCAACAATTAATAATTGATTCAACTGAATAACAATTAACTCATTTAAAACTCTTAATAGTTGGAAGAATTTGCAAATGTTTTTCACCACCATACATGCTAATAAAAAATATAAGTAGTAATCAACTTTCATCCTTCGTTAAACGATACCATCAAGCTGTAACTCTTGCACATTTCTTACCCAATCTTTTAAACCTGAAATATCGTTCAAATCTAACAACCAATGAAATGGAATACAGAAAAGCCATTTACTAAAATTATATTTTCGGAGTAAATAAAGTAGACCCAGTGGGTGACCAAAGGATGAAGGATGTAAATATTCTAAAAATAATAAAGCAACTATTTAATACATCTTCATCCTTCGCTTCAGTTGAAAGAGCATTCAAATCGTTTGGAGTTGTTCACTCGAAGCTTAGGAATCGGCAGAGGGAAAAATTAAATTCTAATAACTAATAAGTTATTGATGTAGATATACTTGTGATTTTATTATGTTTTTTCTTAATTTTACAAACTAATTTTATTTTTTTATTATAAGGAAATTTAAAAAATCTAAATGTGGGTAGATTTTTAATATTAGCTTCGTTTTGTATTTAGAATATTAAATAATTTTTCACTATTGCCATTAAGACCAGTAATTATTTTTCTACTATATCAAAAATTGAAATTGAGAGTAAACTTTTTTCTCTAACAAGTTGTGATTACTAGTGCAATTTGGTTATTTAATTTAGACTTTGCTTATCTAAGTCCAGATTGAGGTTCAGGGACAATAAAAGTAAAAGCAACTGCGTTTTTGCTACTTTCTTTCACCATTTTAAATTTTGATTTAAATCATTGATTTCTTTTAAAAAAATCACGTTGATTTAAAAATAAACCAAAATTGCCTGATATTGTAGGCATTCCAAACATGTTGGAATACATTTCCGGTAAAACTATATCAAAAATTGAAATTGAGAGTAAACTTTTTTCTCTAACAAGTTGTGATTACTAGTGCAATTTGGTTATTTAATTTAGACTTTGCTTATCTAAGTCCAGATTGAGGTTCAGGGACAATAAAAGTAAAAGCAACTGCGTTTTTGCTACTTTCTTTCACCATTTTAAATTTTGATTTAAATCATTGATTTCTTTTAAAAAAATCACGTTGATTTAAAAATAAACCAAAATTGCCTGATATTGTAGGCATTCCAAACATGTTGGAATACATTTCCGGTAAAATTTAAAAAAACGCTCTCAAAAAATGATTTAAAGTTGAAAAAATAACGTTGCCAATAAGATATATTAACTTTGTAGATAGCGGAATCGAAAGTTGATCCCCAATCTAATATAATTTCGAGACTTATAGCAGGGGCATAAGCAAAAATGCACTTTTTCGTATGATGTGTTTTCGAATAGTTCCTGAAAATGATCCATTTTTACTGATTAGCTATAAGAAAAAAGTAGAAGAAAACGACTATTTCTACGATTACACTCGATTGCCTGGAAGGTCTAATTCGAATATGAGTTATTTGAAAAAATCGGATTTGTTTCGAAATATAATCAAAAGATTCTATGATAAAAAAATTTTTAGTTTATATAATAGCAATATGATACATTTAACAACATCTTTTCATTTTCACGGTTATTTTATAAATTTGCTCATTTTTTCATTTGTGTTAATCTAATATACCATTATTTTTTTTGAGATATATTTTGAAAAATTTTTTTTTTACCATTCTTAAAAATAGAGGTGGGCGCGGGCTTAATTTTTCATTCACGGCTCGCCCGCTCACGGTGGCAATAAAAAAAATTTTCGACCGGACTCGCCCGCTCACGAAAAGCAATATTTTGATTCACGCCCGAAAATTCACGGTGTTTTTAAATTTTTCAAAACTATTGCTATAATTTTACACTTTTTTGAATTCATTCTATTTATTTCTCTAAACAAAAAATAAATACAATTTATAAATCGAAATTATTAAGAAAAAGAAGACTGTCCATATTTTTTTATTTCAATTGTGTACGTCTTTTCTCTAATAAGAGATTTGCTACAGAAAATAACCTTTCACTAGAAACCGAACTTGCAGCTGACAAAATTTTACTCGATATTCTCAAAAAAGGAAATGAATATTCCTGCTTCCAAAACTTCAAAATATTGTCTTGTTATATAAATTATATGAATCTTTTAAGTTCATCCTCACAGCTTTCATCGGTGATGTTGATGCTTCATCAGAATCATCTAGAAATTCTCTAAATTTTTCATTTAGAATATACGGTCTTTTATGAGTGTAGGATGAATTAGGAAAGTTATAAATGATAGTTGGTATTGATCATTTATAATATAAGGTTTTTTATGAGTTTAGGATAAGTTAGGAAAGTTATAAATGATAGTTGGCATCGACTTATGCATATCATCTAATTTTATATCATTTGGCATTTTTAAGATGGTTTTATATATATCATCCTTTTCTTCTTTTATTAAAAACTTAAGTCTTTTGAAATTCGGATCTAGAATTAAGCCTACCTTATGTAGTGGCTGCATAATAATTTTTTAAAAGAAATCTTGTTCTGTATTTTAAGGTTTTGATTATTATTGTATCACGTTCAGAAGGTTAACAAAATTTTACTAATTTTTGTTTCCATAGACAAACTTCATCGAGAATCTGCTCTCAGATTATCTGAGCATTCTTTAAATATTGATAAAAATTTATCTAACTCGCGTATGATGCTGATATCAATTGTGGCTAATCTATTTAATTCTTGCTTGCTAAACAAGTACACCTGTATTTCAGAATATGATTTTAAAACTCTATATCATGATATATACAGAGTTCCATCTCGTTATTCTCTTTATTAAATCTTGTTTAAGGGTGTGGCTTAGTTTGATTAGCTGTAGAGTGTTTGAAATATTGTACTATTTTTTTACACCATTTATATTTAAGGCTATTTCAGTTAAACAATTAAAAATATAATGCATAATATTATTTAGTATATGGCATATATATATGCTAGCTCGTCCTTTGAATGCACTTATAAGATTTGATCCGTTATCACTCACAACTATACATTTATTTAAGTAATTTTCCACTTCTGTATATTCTCCTAAAATTGAATTGACTACACTTTTAATATTGACTTTTTTTTCATCCATTGTCCTTGTGGCCAAAACAAATTTTTTAATTTGAAATCCTTAATGATAATAATATGTAATGTAATGGTTAAAAAACTTATATTTTTATAGTCATCCGTCCAAATATCAGTGATTATGGAAAAGTAATTATTATTGATCATGCTTTTAATCTTAAATTTTATTTCATGGTATATTTTTGGACCTATAGTATTCATGAGAGTTTTTCGGTACACAACTTTTATATTTTGTTATCCATAGTAACACCAACATTTATCTTTTGGCATAGATTTTTAAAATCCTTCACTTTCTGATGCATTTAAAGATTAAAGATCTTTACAAATAAAATATAACTGACTTTTCTGTAAAAAATTTAAGCAAAATTTAGCATAAAGTCTCGCGATAAAAAACACCTAAACATAAAAAGGAAATAGAACTAACGAAATGTTACCGATGTTGTTTATAAAATGCGGAAGATTTTTTTTTTCTCTTTAGCTTTCACCTTTTCTGGTGGTAAGCTCCTTCAACATCTCTCTCCACTTTATGTTATTCATACAATCTCTTTTATCTATTTTATACTTCTTTATATTGGCTCTAACTTTATGGCCCCATTGAAGTTTTGGCCTTCCTCTTTTACGTTTGCCCATCACTTCCAAACTTTCAACTTTATTTCCTATGTAGTTCATAGGCCTTCTCATTGTGTGCCCATACCACCTAAGTCTGTTTACCATTAACTTAGTCTTAATGGGCACTACCTTTAAACTATTTAGTATTCTTGTACTGCGCACCTTATCCTTTCTTGTTACCCCAGCAATCATCCTCAGCATTCTCATCTCCATAGTTTGTAGACTTCTCTCGTCTGATTCTTTGGTTGGCCATGTTTCCGAACTATATAGAATAGTTGGTTGTACTATGGAACTGTAAATTTTTCCCTTTAATTTGTGTGGGATTCTTTTGTCAAATAGCACTCCAGATAAAGATCTCCACTTTAACCCCACTTGATTAATTTTACTCTTTATATCTTTTTCTATTGTGCCATTTGTTTGTATAGTGGAGCCCAAATATTTGCAGCTTTC